GATCTTCCGCCTGGGCTCTTACTACCCAGTCGTAGGCCCAATTCCAAAATCAAGACCACCTGGTCACCTGCCCCAACAGCAAACCGGAATGAATGAAGTCAAAGCCATTCAAAGCCTTGCAGGTACATGCAGGTACTACTTGCCGTGGCCTATAAACGAGCAAGCAATCAATTTAAGGGAACTGGGAGATGATGTGGAATACTGTGGAATGAACCAGTCGCAGAAGATGTCGTTTTGGAAAGTAGGCTCTCTCGAGCTCTCTCACGCAAGCTCGTTCGGCTTGCCCTCCACCACTGGGAAGTGCCTTTTTCACCGACCCGATGACCACATCCATGGCTTACGCGGGCTGAAGAGATGATATCCAGGCCGATCCTTCCGCCAATTTCTTCGCCAAGCAATGGCTTTGGATGGTTTTGGGTTCCATTTGGTCTGCCGCATGCAGGGATGATTTCTCAACCACAGCAGCATCCCCTCCGGTCCGTGGGTCCCTGGGTGTCCTACTGCGCGGGACAAGATCGCACGGAAAGAACTGGTTCCTTTCAAACTCACAAAATGTCCTCCATCAAGGCCCGGACCTCCCTCAAAACTGTTCGCCTTGCATACAGGGGGCGAAAGGAATGAGGCTTCTTCAATGGCATGGGGACGGGAGAGGCAGGGCGTCACAATGATAAATGTGTTCTTTGATTCTTACTTTGCGAGAAAACATCACATGTTAAAACATTTCAGGCTGGAAAGCAGCAGTGCTTTTGGGGCCAGAAGGCAAATGTAATGTGGTCGATGTGCAGTCTGTCAACATACTTGAAGTTCAAACAACCTGCTATATAAATGACCATTTATCATAAATACTAATCCTATATGGTTGCATGAACTTCAACTCCGGCACTCAGCTACTGCGGCTACTACTGCCACCTTCCCTGCTACAGCTACTGCTACCGGAATGTACCGGACCAGCTTAAGCTGCCAGCTCTGGCACGTACAAACTCCCGAACCATCGAGTTGCGGCCTCAAGGTGTCCCGCGCTTGGCCTCAGCAGCAGATTTGGGTGTTGTTCGTTGCCGGGGATCCTTTCGGAGCAAAAAACGACTTCGACCGACTTCGACCTCGGTCCAGCCCGGTACGTAAGCGACCGAAGGACGCGTTCTACGATGTGTCTTTTCGGTGACAAGACATCCCTGGCTCTGAGACTCTTCTCAGTCCTCAGGACCCACCAACCTCTTTTCTTCGTCCCATCTCTCCACCAAGGCGGTGACCATCCCTCGAGCGTGCTCGAGTTCCATTGTGTGACCGAACGCCTGAGCTGCGGCGACCCAGTGATAGGTGATTCCGGTATGGAAAGCCATTTCCATCCACTTCCGCATGTTTTCTTCTTCATCCAATAAAAGACTTCAAGAGAAGGACACAAGCAACCAACCAGCAATCCTGGTCACCTTTGATCAGCTAATCATCCTGATCCGCAGGAACTGCGCCTGGTCGCTGGACTTTGCCATGAAGTCCAACCTTTCAACTGCGAACTGCCAAGGCGTGGGCTACATCAGTGTGGTCACGAGCCACAGGATTGTTGTACCTGTCTACAGCAGATTCTGCTGTCATCTATCACTCAAAGAACCATGCATGGCATTGTTTGAGAGGTTGTTTACTTGTTTGGTGAAGCTTTCTAGAGGTCATTACTTGTAGGCGGATTGGAACCAAAAAACACTGCCAAATCCATCGGTTCCACCGTGTTCCTCAACCAATCATGGCTTTGGGGGTCCATGCCGTGAGACCGAGCTAGCTTGCCAATGCTGGAGTAGTTTGACCTTGTCTGATAAGCTGACTTGATTTTCCATGTTGGATCATGTTAGCCAGTTGCTGTATGAGTTGCTGTTATGGGTGTCATGGGTTCTTGTAAAGAGGCCAGGCTGATGTCATGGCTGGGCTCAGTATGATTCACTGGGCACCGACCACCGGGGATTTGGTCAATTTCAACCGACCTCCCTGGCAGCCTCACCTCATCGTCTTCTCCTGACAGTTCCAAGGTAGCATGGAGCTTCTCATGTCGAATGGAGCTGCATCGATGTCCAGGCTGCCAAAACGAGCCCCCAAGATGTACATCTTGAAAACACATATCCCTAATGTCAACACGGGATTAGCCAACCCCCCTATTCATCAAGCCCAGCTGGAGCCTCCAATACTAAACTAATTAACACCCTGCAACCTCCCGCTGATAATATTTGTTCCTTGCCAGAAATGCCCCCTATTAATCAAACCCAGCTCCCCCAGAAAAATAACAAATATAGTTTACTATTTAATTGTTTTACATTCTTTTTTGCTAGTATTCAATATCTTCTGGTCCATGGTGAAACTGATCTCTCATGATTCACATACCATCCCATCAACCATCGCCCATCATCAGGTCCAGGTCCTCATCTCATCATCCATCATCAGGTCATCACCTTTATTAGGGGGATGTGGTCTCCAATCCCTCCAATCCCAAACCTTGTCGTCCTTGTTGACCTTGAAGGGGGGAGTTGATGAATCCGGTGTGGACATGATTAGGATCTCCATCCGGCCCTTGATCTATTTGTTGCTCCATTTTCTAGTGGAACTGAATCCCCATTTTATCAATTGAGTTCAAACATATAGTGGAACTGATCCATATTGTAGTGGAACCACTCAAGAAGGATCCCAAAGAGCCGAAGTCGACTCGCCTCGCCTTGGGATCGCTCGACGGGTCGAAGGGGTTGCGTGCGCTGCCTCGGCGGCCGGTTTTCGGTGGGTCGGGTCGCCGGTATCGGTTGGTGTCCGTTGGTTTGGAGGGGGTTTGGGATTCCAGCGATGGGTTAGATGTATTCCATGCCAAGTTTGCAGCAACTCTTGAATCTCAAGCATATGAATCACACTACATCATACTACATACAGTATATGAAGCGAAGCAAAGGGCAAAGTATGGCAAAGCACGAAGCGGGAAGAGTAGGCATATACAGTATGTCCTCTTTTGCAAAGGCACAATGGGTGGGTTCACGACGCCAATGTGCCTTTAATCACATGCATTATGCATGCATCACCTCCGAGCCAGAGTACTTTAATTTGGATGAGCGATCCTAGGAGTCCATAACCCACCCTGTTCCAGGTCCCATCACTAGTAGCGATGTGTTACTAGTAGCGTTTCCAGGGTAAGATTGCTTGGAATGGAGTCCCATCATCCTTTTCTTTACACTAAGGCCCCTTGCGCGAAAAAGGCTCTTCGCCGAAGCTCAGTCGCCGCCATGCCGATTGGTCGGGAGGTTAGTGCGTTGCAATGTTGGACCATCACGGAGATGTCCTTTAAATCACTTGAAATCAATGGAGATTGCCTTAACTTGGCAATGTGAACAGCAGTTTGCCGGCTGACCAAGCAAATGTGAAGGGACAAGACACAGCGCTCTCTGTGAGCAAGTGCCAGCGCAGAATGGCGAGCCTTTCTTTGCATTCAAAAGACTGCACAAACCGGAATCCGCCGACCGCAAACATGAAATCATGATCCGCAACCTCCTAAACACCAAAGAACAACAGCTTGCAAAGGAACATAACAAACACATAATGCACACTTTTGCAAATTTGTTGGAGATGTGAGATGTCTGATTGGTATTGTAAGAGTGCCAGGAGTGTTCTTGCGATACAGTGTTTTCTAGTCTGACACCACTTGCTTTCACTTTCCTGGCTCAATGTTCAGAATTACAATTTACGCAGGCAGTTGGCACAAATCATCTTCTATTCAAGTTGCAAACAGCCTATACATAGAGTTGAGCTAAAAGTGCTTCTTCGATTGTGCTCTGAATGAGAAGCTAGGCCTATCCTATCCCATGCATTGCTTCATAAGTGTAAGGCCACCGGTGTGCAGGTTCACCTCTGAACCACCCAGCATAAACATATATGCAAAACAACACAGCATATCCGCACAATTATATAATAGCTCTCCCTGGTCCCAAGAGCTGCATGGGCTTCTTCTCTCTTTTCACCGCGGTGAACATGGTCCGCCGGCTGGACAGGATGCCGTGCTCCACCCTCCTGCAGCAGGGTGGAATGGACTGCAAAAAAACACACAGAAACTAAAATAGAGGTAATTTCTGAGTCAGGCCAGTCCTTCACAAGATTCCCTCAAGATGCCCCCCCACACCAGGACTTTTCTGGGTTCGGCTGCAGCACTGGCCACAAGTCACATGTCACCAAACGCCGAACGGACCGAGCGGTTCGGATCCACAAGATGCATGCCTAAGAACAACATGCATACAAATGACTTACCTATCACATCCTATCACCATCCAACAACTACCTCCTGGTAACCCCTTTGCAAACCTCAACGTCTGGACCACCGCTTCTGGTGGGTTTGGAGGGCTTTGGACCGACCTCGTCGCCGACCGCTCGTTCCGACTAAACGTGCATCGACGGAAAACCCCACACTGCTGGCTCTCATTAACCCATGCAGGTAGACTCAGACAGACTCAAACTCAACAATATGGCCAAACTCCAAATGAAGAACATAACAACTAACTGTTCGTTGGGGTCCAATCTGCAGGGGCTTGATCGCATCTTGCCATCTCACATCGATTCATGATCTTTCATGAGAATCCTTGAAACTCTCCAAAGCCGGAGACTGCAAAGTTCTGTCCACAAGTCATGAAAAACTTGAGAGAGGAGGGGGTGAACGAAAGGTAGCAGGCAATCACAAGTAACCCTGGTAGAAGTCCATGACGGCGTGAACCGGCGCAGGGGTGATTTGATCCAGGGAGGGGGGGCCCCCCCCCGACGAACAGAATCAACTCTTACAGGACCAAATTCAATGCACAATCCCAACTCCTGATTGTAATACATTTTTGCTAAAGCAAGGAGTGACTGGTCTTGCCTGATGACTCAAACAAATTGGGCTATCAAAATATGTGCTGTGATGTGTTAGAAAGCAAAAGGAACAACCGCCGAAGCCATATTTTTTCTACTCTGCCTCGCACGCCCGCGCCATCTTTTCTGCGTGGCTATGCTCTAGTCTAGGTCTTCTGCTGCATTTCGATCATACTAATACATGTTGAGAGCTTGGATTCCAGCTCAACCAGCAGCTTGCTGGGAACACTTCCCGCTGCCACAGCGGCATCCAGGGATGCCAGCGAAGCTTGTAGCCCGACGCCGCAAAGATCTTCAGCAAGGTAACGCAAGCCTGGTAGGGTTTAGCATGGTTTAGCAGCATGGTTTGCATGTCAACTTGAAGTTGGTTGCGCTGCGTGGCTAGAAGAATGCTATGAATTACTCTTATTGTGAACATTGCAAATTGCTGGAACCCAATTCGTTGGTACATGGTTTCCACCACAATTCAAAAACTTCCTTGGGCTGGTCATCCGGCCTTGTGCCTTCGCCTTCTTTGTCGTGACCATGTTGGGCGGCGTCCGCGACCGTGACACCGCGCCCGGCCGCGTGCGCCGGTCGCCGGGGTCAGGCCGCTGCTTCGGCCGGTCTTTGCGGCCTCGCAGCGGAGGTGGACGTGGAATGGTGGTGAACATCACTATATACTATATACTGTCTGCATATACATATACATACATATACTGAAGTAACATATTACATAGTTACATATTACATAGTTGACATTATACATGTGCATATTTGTTCACAAATATAACATTATTAGGTTGTATCAAGTGTATCTAATGGACTCAGTATATATATATATATTAATATATATTACTATTGACAATTCTTGTTGTATAATTTTGTATATATGGTTCCTTCACAATCCCCCCTTCATTCATAATCTTCATGCAAAACTCGTAGCTCAATTCAACAGTGGTGGTGGTTTGTACGGTTGCCAAAGTGGGTACCCCTATGATGGCACTTTCTTTTCCGGGTGAGCTTTTCCCGCAGCATCCTATGTACGAGTTCTGGACTCATGGGGCGTCGGTCTTTGGGGGTAATTCCTTATCAAATCCGATTAGTTACACATGACTATGCCAATGCCTACTGGGCCTACTGGAGTGACTATACATTGACTGCAATAGAAGTGAGCGGCTACGGCTATGGGGTTCCCACTGGGGTTCCCCTGTTCTTGAAGACGATTTGTTCAACGAGGCGAGGTAGTTTTGCTCGAACAGGGAGTCTCCAAACGGCTTGAACTGCTGATATCCTATATATATATATAAACCTCATAAAACCAGTTACTAATTTGATTTTGGCCTGACAATCACGTGTCGGGTCACTGTTTTGCTAGACACGGGGGCCACACATGAGCCGTCAACGTCTCAAAGTGTGAGATAGTACTGAATAAGCATAAAATAAAGGAGACTCTGCCATATCAGAACTGAGAGCTTGGAAGACAAGGCACGACAGCATCGTTTCCTTACTGACTTTCCAAGAAATAACAGGAGGCACCCTCAAGTTTATAGGGAAACACAGCGGCGTCGAAAGAGGTCTGCTCCAAACTTCAAGTTCTTTGTAATCTTGCTATTGGAACGCTGTGTGCCTGCGATGAAATGTGGATCGAAGTATGGATCCTTGGTAGCTTCCTCTTTGGCCTGTGGCTTCTCCTTGCCAGAAACAAACACAAACACACTCGCAGATTCTTCACAGTGAGTCATCGCGAGATTCTTTGAGCTGGAAGTGTTCAGTGAATCTGACTGATTTGACTCACGTAAACTTAAACTGCAAGAATCTCGGTATCTCAGCACATCTCTTATTTTCCTCTCAGCTCCAGCTGGCACTCGGCTCCTGCGCCAATGCTGCACTGAGACGTTCGGCCAAAGTGAACTTCTTCCCCGTTGTGTCTAAGCCACGCTCCTCAACGAGATCGGAGACCCTGGGGGGGGACCCCGTGAGACTAGCGACGGTTCAGATCTGTCCATCAGAAAATCCCTCCATGCCGCGCAGGATTGGTCAGAGTTGGCACCGCAAAATATCAAAACCTCTGTTCACTGCTTTTTTTCATCTTTTTTCTGATCCATTTTCCAGATCAAGATCTCCCTTCTGATCGCCCTATTGGTATAGGTCATGAAGACACTCAGTCAGTGAATTCAAAACGCCCCCTTCACCATCAACTCCATGCGTCAGCACCACAACAAAACAGCAAAAAAACACCGCCATGACCCGAGACCGCGCACCCTGCGCGTGTTGCTCGCTCTCCATCGGCACCTGGAGGCGGCTTTGCAGCTCTTGCAGGCTCAAGCGACTCAGCGCCCGTGGCGTCTCCATAGCGCCGGGGGTTCGAGGGTCGAAGGTGCCGGATGGAGGAAGGCTGTAAGGACTACATAGTGGAGGGCGTGGCCAAAATAGCGCACCTGCACTGAACCAATCTAATTGGTTTGGACACAACTGGTACATCCTGGTACATCCCTTTCAGATTGGAACCATCCATCCGCTTTCGACAGTCAAGGTGAGTCATCGGTCAAATCCTCTGGCGGATCGTGGGGAGACGCTTTCGACGGGAATGCCTTGTCTGTTGGCGAAAAGGGCGATCGACCAAAAGGCGATGCCCTGAAGCGATCAACCAAAAGTGAATGCTTTGTCTGTTGTGACAGCTGTCTTTCTTTTGATGTCCCTTTGTCTATATCTCCGACAGGAAACTGCAGCCACTTCAACGTGGTGATCATCCAGGAAGTTTTTTTACAGCGTCAATCACAGGCGCCTTGTTCGCAACACGACTCTTTTAAGACAATCGCTTTGGCGATCCACATAAGCAATTCTAGTACATGATGTAGACATGACCCTCTTGAGGCAGGATATTCTTTTGACTCCTGAAAACACCTGCAGGGCAGGGCTTTTGAAAAGGTGAGGATCCAAAACATCCTCAGCCCAGCTGCCGGTGAAAACAGGGTTCCAAACCGAAGCTCAGCATGGAAAGCATCAGCTGATCAAGCTCATGAAACCTGCCCTCAACTGGCATCAGTCTCCAGGAGCTCAATTCCGCCAGGATTGCTTCTGGTCGTGGGCGCTGTTGCCTGTCGTTTTCATACCATGCTTTTTCCATGCTGCCTATGTGGCAGGGCCCAACTTACTTTAGCCTATCATGCGTTTGCTTTGTGTCTCCGCGTTTGTTTGCGTTTGCTTCTGTCCATCTGGCATTTCCAAATATGTGCTGCAAATCCGCCTACGACGCAAAAAAACACCAGAATGTCGACCATCGCCTGCTGACTCTTTGAGCAAAGCCAAAGGAAGACACCTGCGCCTGGCAAATCTTCAGGTCCCGAGCGTTCATGAAGGGAATTGAAGGTGATGGTACATCAGCGCAATCTAGTACTAAACTTGATGGCTCATGGTTTCTATTAGCCTAGGTTTTGTGCCAAACTGTTCTGGGATGATTCCAAACAGCCTCTGCAGCCGGTTTCCGCCCGGGCTTCACTGCACCCACAACTCAGGACCTGCTGAAACCTCATATCTAAAGGCAACCATCCCACCTTGTAACTGTAAAACCAAAGATGCCAAGGGCATCTGCTGCATCTGCCAATGATTCTGTGGTTTCTCGAGGTCCCTAGAGCAATTCCAACGTCCCTGTGGTCCAAAGGACGTGGACTCCCAGAAGAGTACAAGAATCCAGTGCTTTGGAGAAGACCAATCCCAAGATGTATTATAATTACCGTAACTAACTCTGTATAACTGTATAACATATACATCGTCGTGTTTCTCAGATAGCCATTGGTGTGAAGTGTATGGTATAGGCGGTATAGGTGTTACTGAAATCCCTGAGTTCTCATCCAGTCACTATGGAACAACTCATGCATCACCGCACACCAACATACACCAACCATCTAGGACCAAAGACACATCATCCCACACCGACTCCAGCGGCCTGCGGCCAAGATGAGGACCACAACGACGAGCAACGCACTGTGATGGGTCTTGGCCTTGACCTGGCGATTCGGAGGATGAGTGGCCACCTATAGGCTGACCTCATCCTGACCATCCTCAACTCGCCTCCCTCCAGTCTGGTGCATGAGCAACAGGAATCCGCAGGAACATCACTCCAAGAGATTCAGACGCTACGTGAGCATGCATGGTCCAAGTCATCACACAGTTGTGGAACATCAGTTGGTTCATATAAAAAACTATCCCACCCCTTTCCACATGCACATCATCCCGGCATCGTCCCACATCAACCCAGCTTCTGCCTTGGCCTCGCAGTCTATTTCAGCGCTTTCAATGACCGCCTCCGGGGCATGGGCCAAGCGGCACCATGCCACTGCCACTTCCAGGCGCTCCTGCAGCAGCTGCGTTGGTCTACAAATTTTCGCAGTCTCCGACTTCTTGACTTGACGGTCAGTCAGTCCTCGGTTGGAGTCAAAATATCTGGGGTTGCATTGTTGTCATTGAAACACGAGAAGGGCTGTTGCAGTTCTATGAGACTTCATCCTTGTGGATCTCTCCTCTTGCCAAAGATCCGATGAATTGTAGCAGGATCGAGGAATGTGTCCATGGAATGGGCCGCGTCACGTCTATCATCTATCAAGACATACCGAAACATACCGAAATCATCCTAAAGTGGGACACCTGCTCTAAATGGAACCCCAAAGACGGATGACTTCAATTGACTTAATACAACATTATCCAACTATCAGGCTTCAGGCTTATATTAAAAACTAGCTAACGCACTCCATCTTCACCGTCGATCACTGATCATCCGGATCACTCCTCATGACCGGCGAAAAACATCCGCACCTTGCACTGGGTACCCGATTTCACTGCGGCATCCAAGGCATCCACGGCTAATTGGAGGCGACCTCAGGTCGAACTGCAGTGAACCATGTGTCGGAATTCTTGGAGAGGACGTACTATGATATACTATGATGGAACTACCTCCACAACTCCTCAAAGGGCAAGATCCGCAGGTTTTGTGGAACATCGGAAGACCTGTCGCCGATTTACACAGGTGCCGATGCTCGGCATGTGCGATCCAAGGCGCAGCCTTCCGCTGAGTTCATGAGGGTTGTGTTGAGGATCTCAAAGGCCTGGTTCCGTGTCGCGGCAAAACCCAGCGTGGCACCCATGGATCCAAGATGAACCGGTATTTCTCACTTGCAAGCTGCGTTGGCTTCTTACATCTTCTTACCAAATGAACCAATAATTGGCCCCACACGCAGGCAAACCACCAGAGGTGGCCAGTGTTCACACAGTTGAATGTTAGACTCCCCCAAGGAATTCACATTCAAACAGAACCCGGAACACCAAACGGATCAAGAAAACAAGCCACCTGTGGCCATCCTCCATCCGCCCATGCTTCCAACTCGGCATGGTCCAGTCTTGTTCCCCCCCGCCTCCGCGCGCTGAATGACATCGTGGACCGAGTCGAAGTCCTTGCACTCCTGCCAGGACCCGAGGCCGGAGCTTCGCCGCCCGAGTCGTGAAGCGACGGAGGTCAGGTTCCGCGGGCCTTCGACATCCCCCACCCAACACGAATGAATACGGCCACCTTTTGGGATGCGAATTCCATTCATCGAATGCTTCATGGTCTTTTTGAGGCCAGCGACACGCCAACTGGACGCGACCGCCACATCTCGCCGCTCCTCCTGGATCTGAACCAACTGATCCTGAGAGAAACTCCACACGGTCGAGTTCGGGCATCTTGGTCGCACGAAGCGGTCAAAAGCAGTTGCGATCCGCTGAGGTTGTAACAACATGTAGTGAAGAAAGGGGTTCCCTGTATAATGCTTTGGAATGCTTTGGACGTGTGTGGATGCAAAAAAAAACACAATCAATCACACTCCACATTCATCCGCCTACTCTTCCGTTCTTGCTTTATGAACGTCTGCAGTTTAGATAACATGCACAAAGTGTTCGTAGTTCTTGGGTCAATTCAGCGATTGCCTCTTCTTTGGACCCACCGAAAAATGCACCCCTTGGAGAAGGATGCCACTTCGAGTTTTGCTAGCAAAACCTCAAACCACCTGGGCGAATGCTGGCTAGATTCTTGGAGTTACTAAAATGTCAACATATGTCAACATCTACAAAAACACATCTTCGGATGAATTGCACACAGAAGTGGCCAGCGAATCCTGGTCTCAACAATTCTCAACATCCAAATGCTTCCATCCTACCATCATCGACTCTCTCTCCCATTGGCCTCGAGTTGCAAAATCTCGAGCTTTCGCTTGGCCTCGCGGCGAAACGTCGATATGTGGGGTTAGGGTCAGAAGATGTCAGAAGGGCAAGATGATCCTGAATCAAACACCAAATCGCTCTCAAAACCCTGGCTCAATGTCTGCCATGGATGAACATGGAACACCGTGCGTGTAAAGTCTAGACCTTAAGTTTCCCTAAAAATCTAGGAACCAAATCATTAGCAAATCATTAGTGCGAACGCTTCTTCAAGCTTAGGGCGGCGGGGAGAGCCGAGCTATCCTGAGTTCAAGGTAATAAGTAGCTACTAGCATCTACTAGCTACCTCTTCTACTAGCTACCTACCTAGCTAGCTACTTCCTACCTCTACCTGCCCCCCGGCCCCAAAAAAGAACGTGCCGTGGATCATGGGTGGATCTTCGGACATTCTGAAGGGCCGCCCCTCACTGCTCGCTCACCGGCCCGCACCGCCCCTCACCGGCCAAAAAACGCCTCATTGATGATGTCGCCTTCGGCTTGGACCTCTTGAGCCTCATCCTCAGCACCGACACAGCGAGCAATCGTTCACCTCGCCGCCGGCCAGCCGGGCGGGCTTGGAGGCTTGGGTTGAGGTCCTGGTGCCAATCGTTCTAAAGGTGCCGACATGGGAACGCACTGTTCATGGATTTCCCTGCGGTATAGGGTCAACAACTTAAATTCACATAATACAAAAATATACAAAACATCTTCATTCTGTGGTGTCCGTCATGCCCATGCTCGCCCCAACCGGAATCTCCAAGGCTCCGGCCAGAGCTTCTTTGATTTCTGTCTGGTTCTCGTTCTTTGCCGCTGTCTGCCAACATAGAAGCTACCGGAAGCTGCACATGAACCCCCTGTGATCCGACAAATGGAGAAAACATGAGAAAACGATCTTTACGATGTGTTGGTCAGTTGTAGGAATTGTTCGGACAATCTAAAGACCAACAAATGCCGTTCGAGTGCGGGCAAGTGACCAGAAACGGTCGGCTTGCCACTTGGGCATGGGGGGATGAACTTTTCGAAGCACGAAGGGTATCGTAAGTTATAGTTTGTACATTTGCGTCTATATTATATATATATATATTGATTCTGAATGATTCTGATGCATTGTGTAAAACTTTTCACATCTGATATCTTGTATGACAAACCTCACATACCCCACACATTGTGGAAGAGCGGTTAAGGTGGGACCCTCTGTGTGCAAGATTGCGCAAGTTGCTTGTGATATGTCGTGCTCAATCATATAGCAGACCTCAGGTCTTTGTCCTTCCTTCAACTTCAACCTTGCAGGACATCCATGTTCAACTTCATGGCTGCAAAGGCGAGAACCGATCGAAGCTGCAAAGGCGAGAACCGATCGAAGCAAAAACAACAGCGTTTCGATGTGGCCTGCACGTGCTCCTTGGCGCGGCGGCGCGCGCCGTTTTGGATCGCTGCGTTGATGAGCTCCTCGGGGACCCCGGCGCTCCTGAGGCCCCGCCGATGAGAGAAGGGGGGAGAAGGGATTTGGTTGCGTCTAAGATGTTGCACTAGGCTGGGAGAATTGGCAAAATACGAGTTGGCAGAATGATTGCTCCTTGGCATAATTTTATATACTTGTTTACTCTTTTAGATACCTTTTTACTCGTTTATAACTGTTTCTATACATTATTGATTGTTTTATTTAGTTATTTATTGTTATTATTAGATGTTTATTTGTTCAATACGTTTTAAAGTTCATATTGTTCACTCGTTTTAATCTGTTTAAACACTTCGACGTCTACTTTATCTTATGACTGACTGGTTTTGACGAGGTGTAGGAGCGTGTGTGGGCGCACGCACCCCGTGTCACAGTCGGCACCGCCCCAGAACTTAGCTTACTGGGGGGCGTTGGGGGAGGCACAATAGGAGGTATATACTGGGACTGGGAAACATGCAGTTTAGCAATGAATTCTGCAGTCTGATGATCTGATGGTGTCGCTTTTTTAGACCTTTTTACACTTTGGGAACAAAGGGCACTGATTGAATCGCACAGCTGCCACCAATTGCCACTATGGACCCGTTCTAAACAAAAAGATTAAACAAAAAAACACCATCACATGAAACCACTCAAACATGACCCCTATGACTGGCCCAACTTTTTTTTCGTATGAACCTTTCTAGCGACCTGTTCACTTCCCCCTTGTTGGTGGGCATGGAATGTTGTTCCACAGCCCTTCCCCTATTCTGGTTGCCATCCCCACACATGTGAGGGTTTGAGGATGGGAAGTGCCTGCAAAGACCATCAAAGACCTTTGGTATATTTTGGTATCATGGTAGAAGTAGAACGACAAGTATAGTCAACATCTGCAAACCTATTGGTTGTTGACTGGGATTTCCACCACCATGTCAAACCCACCTTGTCATCAGGGTCCTTGCGTGTTCCACAGCGTCATCAAAGCCTTTCTTTCCACCAGTGTACGAGATGAAGATCACTTCGTCCTGGAGCCAGGGCTTTCTGAAAAGAATGGACAGCCCAAAGAAAGAAAGCACAATCAGTAACCAGTATGTGAGAATATGTTCCCGTCGTGAGCTCCTGCCCCGTGCTCCGACTTTGCCCAAAGAAGATATCAAAAAAGAGTGATGGGCATTGTCCCTGGGAGGCCCGTCTAGTGAGTCTAGTGAGCTCCCACAACCCGTCCTATCCCAAACGCTCCATGGAGGACTATATAGATGCCTCATCATGCCTCACCCTTCCCAGGCTGGTCTAAAAATGCTGGTGAAGTCCCATGAAGTCCTTTTTGAGTTATGGAACACCTTTTCCCATGAAGTCTTTGGGTCATGGACCTTTTGAGTCACCTTTTCACCCATTTCCCATGCCTTGCACCAAACACATCGCTCTCCCGCGCGGATCGTCGGCCTTGTTGCCCAGCCACGACGGGATGTCTTTCACAAAGCTCTCGGGGATCGACGCTGCCGGCAGGTTGAAGGCCTGGCGGCAGAAACGGGGACTGATGGCTGGAAGGATGAAAAAGGTAGGTTCACATCTGGCAACATCCAACTTACCCCAAGTAGGCCTTTCTGTGGGTTCTTGGGCTGTTCCATCTGAATCTCTTGGTTGCCTCAGAGTGTGCCCCGGGTGGTGGGAACTGTTCCAGTTCCAGCGGTCACTGGGGGGGCGGGGGTTCCAGTTCCAGTTCCAGATCTAGTGGTCACAGCATCTATCTTGCGGAGGAGGGGTTCCAGTTCCAGTTCCAGATCCAGTTCCAGATCTAGTGGTCACTGGGGAGGGGGGGGTTCCAGTTCCAGATCCAGATCCAGTTCCAGATCTAGTGGTGACAGCATCTATCTTGTTCCAGTTCCAGATCCAGATCTAGTGGTCACTGGGGAGGGGGGGTTCCAGATCCAGTTCC